TTTTAATAAAATATATATTTGTTATATTTTTAATTTTTTTTATTAAACTTTTATTAGAAATATTTTTTTTCTAAATAAACCTTTTTGCTATAAGTCTAGATAAATAGGCTAATAATATTTATTATTACTTTCCAGTTACTATTTATATTTATTAAATATTCTAAATTCTATATATTAATTAAAATAGCTTATTTTATTTTATCTATACTAGAAATATTAACAGTAAAAATTATTTATTACTATTTTTAGTAGAAAGTATAGAAATATTAAAACTTTTTATTTAAATTACTTTCTAAAGGTGCTAAAATCTTAATTATACTAAATTATTAGATATTACTATATTATTAAGCTTTTATAGCAGTAATAGATTACTTTATTAATTATAAGTAGAATTATTATAAAATATTACTTAGATTTAAACTATTTTATAGCTTTTATACTAGTAGCTATTTAAACTTAGTTTTATTTAAGCTATTTAAAAAATACTAAATTATAAACTAAGTACTTATAATTACAACTAATAATACTTTAAATAATAAAATACTATTAATAAATTTTTAAAAAGCTATTATATTTTTAAAGCTGCCAAGCTATCTACCAGTTATATATCTACTATATATTATATATATTATACAGCTAAGTTTAAAAAAGCTTTTTAGTTAAATAAATATAAATTCTTAAAATAATAAAAAGAAATTGGAGAAGACTAAAAAAAGGATTATATTTAATAAAAAAATACAAAAATTATAAAGACTTTAAATAAGATTTATTATTTATATATTCCTTTATCTACTTTAAGTACTAATATTAACTATTTATTAGGTTTAGAAGATTACTATTTATATTAATAAAAGCCCCCAGTACTGTAAAAGCTTTATTAAACTATAAATAAGAAAATTTAAACTAATATCTATATAAAATATTTAAATTTAATAAAATTTTATATTTTTTATATTACAGTATATGTATTGTTTTTAGCCTAGTTTAATTTTACTAAGATATAGATAGATAAGAATAAATAGTAATAAATTAACTATTTATTATTAATTAATTATTTATTTTTTAAGTTTACTTTATTTTTGTTTATAACTACTAATATAACTATTTATAATATTTTTAGTATTTATAATATTTTATTTACTTATATTAATAACACTAAAGTACAACTATTATATAAAAAAATTATTTGGAAGAGGATAATAAGGTTAGTTTCTAAATATATATATAATAAGCTGGCAGAGTACTATAGAAAAACTAATAATATTTTTAATAATTTTTATATAATCAAAACTATTTTTAGATCTTAGAGTGAGCTGAAGTTTTTTTAATATTTAAATAGAAAAAGAATTAGGCCCTATAATATAGTTAATTACTAAAAACTTATATTAAATCTTATTATAAGTACTATACTAAAGTATAGACTATATTAAATACTTAAATAATAAATAATATTTTAAAAATTAATATATTTATTAGATTTGCTATATTTTTTTAAAATATAATTTTAAATTCCGGATAAGATTATACAGTATTTTAGAAGCAGTAAGTTATACCCTGTAACTTTTATAGTTATACTTTAATAATAATAATAGATAGTATTTAATTAATACTACTAGTTTTTTAAAAAAAATATATTAGGCTAAATATTTAATTTTTATAAATTTAGTATAGAATATTTTAATAATCTTAACTAGTAGTTTCAAAGTAGAATAGCTGTTTAACTCTGCCCAGAATATATACTATTATTAGCAGAGATTATTAAAGCTATAAACTATATAAAATTTAATAATATTTATATATATAATTGTCAACAATGTGGGCAGATTGGCCAGTTGGCAGCCTCAGGCTCGCCAGTTCGCGGCCTCGGGCTCGCCAGTTCGCCACCACTGCCAGGCGCCACCTCAGGGCCTGCTCGCCTGCCATTCCTGCTTGCCCGCCACCTTAAGCCCTGCCTGCCACTGAAGATATGCCTCACGCTCACCAGTTGGCAGCCTTAGGCCACCAGTTGGCTGCCTTAGGCAACCAGTTGGCAGACTGATGTTCCGAGTTCCGCCCACCCCGCAGCAGAGCAAAAGGCCTTACTTTTATTAATTATTCTAGGCCCTATTCAACCACTGGGTCTATTGTTTTCGGCCCTGTTCTATTCATATAATTTTTATATAAATTTAATATGAATTTAAATGTTTTTTATGTGTTTTTGATAGCCAATTGGCTATGAATAAGGATGAAAAGACCCCTGGAGTTCTATTTAGAAGAACAATCAGTTTCAATCAGTTTTTTATCAGTTTTAAATCAGTTTTAGTTCAGTTCAATTGATTCTAGCAGTTTAGCCTATTTTCTTATTTATCTAATCTTTGATTCTTTTATTCTTCTCTCACTTTCGCCTCACTTTCGCACCCAGTTTGTATGCAAAAGTGAGAGTTCAATGAAGTCTTTCTGAGAAACCTCAGAAAAGTTCTTATCAACTAATTCTAATCTTTGAAAAATTATTTAAAGCTAGTATTATATTTTTTATTTTACTTATATAATTTAGCTTATAGTTAATACTTTTTTATAAAAACTTTAGATCAAGATTTTAAACAGTACTGTTAAATATATATAAAAAAATAATAATAATAGTTTTAAAACCTTTTTTAATATTTTACAATTTTTTAAAAAGATATAATTCAAAAGCTGTTTATAAAAGGCTTATATAAATATTCTTTTTAAAAATTATTTATATAAGCCTTTTATAAAGAGCTTTTAAAATCTTTTTATTAACTATACTAATTTTTAGTTACAAATTTGGAAAATTATACAATTTATAAATATAAGTTTTTAATACTATAAAAAGTTTTAGTTTATCTAAAAATAAATCTAGCTTAGTTTTTTATTTTTTTTAACTGTAAAATTTACTGAAACTTAATTTATCTTATAATTTACTAAGTAATTAAATTCTGTTAACTAATTTAAAGCTTTATTTTGTACTATAATTATAGTAATATTAATTATTTTTATTCTAGTATAATTAAATAAAAATAAATAAAGTATTTTTTATAAGTTTTTTTTTATATTTTATTAATTTAAAAACAGCGGGTCCAATATCTGTAAGATTTATAATATTTATAATAATTTTTAAATTATTTAAATTATTTAATTAACCAACTGGTATAAAAGTAGATATTTTAAAAAAAGATTTTTTAAAGATCTGTAAAATATATACTAGAAATTTTAAAAATACTACTATTATATCTACTAAATAAAAAACTATATTTATATAATTATAACTATTCTAGACCTAATATTAAAGTTTAAAAAGTTTAAAAAAATATAGCTGGATAATAATATTAACTAATATAAAAAGTACTAAACTATTTTTAAAAAAATAATTTATTTTTATTATAGTTAAAATCTAGTTATTAATATACTATTAACAGTTTCTTAATTTTTATTAGATTTAAATAAAGTTTTTTATAATATTTTTAAATACTAAAAAACTTTACCTGCAGCAGAGATATTTAAAAAACTAAAAATATATTTAAATATTAAAAATATATAGCTTATTAAAATATTTTAAATTAGACTAATACTATTTTAGGTACTATAAAATATACTAATATTTTTATATACTAAAAGTTCTATTAAAATTAGTTTTTTATTTTCTACTAAATAGCTAAAGATTTTCTTTTAGTTGCAACTAATAGTATTAGTATTAAATATTTATTTAATAGTTTTTAAAGTATCTACTAATATTACTAAAGCTGTTTTTATTTTAATATAATTAAAATAGTTATACTTTAAATATGTACTAATTATTTTATAATTAGTAAAAAATATAAAAATATTTTTAATAATTTTAATTCTAATTTAATTATCTTTATACTAAAAGAGTAAAAAAAATAAGGTAATTACTATTTTCTATATTAGTAAAAATAAAAATATAAATAATTTTAAAAATAATTTTAAAAATAAATTATTACTAAAATTAAAAAAGCTGGGCTTATTTTAGTTTTTAAATATTATATATATTTAGATAAAAATAAAGGCCCAGCCTTTATAATTTTTATATTAATATAATTACTATTCTGAATAGTATAAAAAGTAGTATAAAATTATTAATATATTAATTTAATATTAAATATTATTTTTATTATACTAGGTTTTATAAAAGTATTTTATAAAGTACAGTATATTTATTAAAAAAGCAGATAAAGTAGATAGAGCAGATAAAATAAATTAATTAAATTTAAAAATATTACTATACTATAATTAAAAATATATTTTATTTTATATATAATATATATAAAAGTAATATATAAATTACTAATTAATCTATAGTTAATAATCTATTTATTATATCTAATTTTTCTAACTGGTAGATATAAACAGTTAAAAAAACAGTTATATTTTAATCTAATTTTAACTATATAGTTAAAAATTTTTTATATCTTAACCTAACTATATAGTTATAGTTAGGTTAAGGTTAAGATATAACAGTCAGGTTAAGCCACTCTAAATACTACTAATCTTTAGTAGACTAAAAGTTAAGATTAAATAATATAGTTTAAATATAATAAATCAAAGATTATTGATATACTTGATAAAATTAGTTAATTTTATTATTTTATTTTTAAAAATTATTATATTATCAAGATTTTTACAATGAGTTGCTAACCACACTACACTAACTAGGCCTAATTAGCTCCCGGGACTTTTGTTGCTGTATTAAGTGTGGAACTTCGGCGCTATCAAATTGTCATTCCATAACAAGATCAAACATGTTGACAACCCAAGCCACAGCAATGGCACACATGCTTAGGTACGCTGAGCCGACTCACCAAAAAATCAGCACAAAGAATAGATGTCACACTGTTTTAATTAGACAGGTCTCAAAGACTCAGTGACATTTTGGGTTATAATTTGTTTTCTGGATAAGTAACATAGCATCAGCCCCAGCTGTGACAAGAAATATTCCCTCAGACCAACTACCCAGTAGTAGTCTAATACAATAGAAAGCCAACTTATGCCCATTCTAGCAGTATACTATCCCACATGTAGCCTCTCCATCTGTTCGAATTTGTCACTGTAAATTCTATGGTGTTACTTCCCACCACAAACGTGCCAGCTGGAATGGTAAAGAAGTATACCCTCGAGACACCGTTGCTCGTCGAGCTACGGTAGGTAGATGGATCGCCCTGAAGATGCTCCAGGACTCCTAAATCAACACTTCCACCCTGGGCTGTAATATCGATGTAGCATTTGTCGCCGTAACCGGCCACACTCACAGTCAATATTGACTCGGAATCGAGGTTAGATGTTGAATTTAGGTCGAATTTGATGGTCCATGTGCCTTCCGCGCTCTGAACGTAGTACCAGTCGGACACTTTAGATTCTCCAATCTTAAATGTTAGATTGGCAGGAGAATCGTCAGTGAGGCCATGGTGATAGCCCGAATCGCCGTTCTTGAATTCGTTGGCGAGCCTATCAAGTGTGCCGAGCTGCCAAATCAAGTCTCTACCTTGAGGCTTCCACTTAAACACGCCTATATCGAGAGATTCCGACGATTCAGTGACGGAGATATCATTAGCGGTGAAATTCGTGGAGATATAGCCCATAGGCGAGCCCTGCGCAGGCCAGGCGTAAAGACCATACGTCCCGCTTCGTACGGCCGTGAAGCGAAAGTTTCCAGAACTATCGGTGGTCTCGCGGTAGTAATAGTTCGTACCCTGATCAAGCGTTTTGACATCAGATCTATTGTCTCCGAGGAAGACACTGACATTGGCAGCTGGCGTATCGTCTGTAAGAACAATTCGGCCTTTGACAGATAATGCTCTGCTCTGATATGCGGGGTTGATTGACATGCTTGGAAAATCGTAAGGCCACTGCGCTACCTCTTTTGCAGCTCTTGTTGCAGCATCGCTCGCCTCTCCGTCATTTAGATACCAGAGCCAGGGTCCCCATGTCCGATTGACAGCAGGATCATCGCGTGGCCCATCCATAAAATGTGTGCCATGAAGCATGTTGAGCTGCACCGTGTCTCCAGATGGATTCTCACGGTGAACCATCAATTCTTGCTTCAAATGGTCTCCGTTGATATATTCCTTGGACGGGTGTATGAACCAACTTCCGAAGCTGCCCCCATACACGCCCCAGAAACCTGCCTCTGGAACATTGATGAAACTGCTCCAATCATATTTTGTAATATAAGTACCATTTGGAAGCTGGTTGGTAGAATCCTGCACAACAATGCCCTCGTTCGTCTCTGCAAGAGTGGGAAGCACTTCATCCTTGATGTAATTATGTCCATGGGTGAATGTGCCATTGTCAAGTCGCCACAGGCATCGAAATTCCCCAAGGGAATGGGGAAGGGCAGTATTCATGAAGTACTGCCAGGCACCGGCGGTGGTGCGGTCAATGACCCAATGGAGATTTCCATAGTTGGATTCGTATTGAACATCAATCCAATCGGTGCTGGCATCGACAATCTTTGGACTATGCCAATTGAAGTCTTCGGATTGTCCGGCGAAGCTAAAATAGAATCCGGACGCATTGGAAACGATATCCTTTCCTTTGTAGTACGCTGGCTTCGCGCCGTTGGACGTCATGGTTGCATTCCACAAGATATTGCCGATAACTGAGGTGCCATCATCGTTGATTTGCAGGAAGGGCGCGTCGTCGCCGGTAGGTAGAGTAAGAGAGAGAGCAAAATTGACAGCTTGAGTAAGTGCAAGACACTGGAAGATCTTTTGTTTCAACATGTTTGCCCTATCCTGCATCTGAGTCGATCACAAAGACAAATTTGAGGCCTGGGTTTTACATTATCCTCAAGTCTCATGCTCTCTTTATACACTTTCTGGCATAAGATGAAAAGGATGAACGGGAATCTTGGTGTTAAAGCTGAAACACACCGTCATTCATAGACGGAGTCATTGACTTCCCTATTGGTCTGGAGTATGGGATGATAGTTCTTGTTCAAGCTTGGTATCAAAAATTCACTTACGGGAACAGAAGCGAAGAATAACCCCTATGTTTCCCGTAGATGTTCTTGCCGAAGATGTTGTGTACACAATTAAGCCCCTCTCTGCTGAGTATTACTGACCAACTACTCACCAACTACTCACCAACTAATTAATCTAACTGTGGGGCTTACCGACCGATTGATTAATTAACTATGGGGCTTACGCAGTAGACCTCCTGTGTGGGTCCTATGGCTCGCTCTTGCCGAGGACATTCGCCTAATCATATCTACCTTGGTGGCCTCGCAGTCGTGGCTCTGAGACCCGCAGATCATGCCTTTGCCCTTGAGAACAGAAGGAGAGAAGTTGCCCAAACAGCTGTGCTTTGTTATCGGCATAGGCAATGGATAAGTATTCCCGAGGTGAGGATGATCTCGATAACACGTTCCGACACCCAGCACTCACCAAGCACCTTTCGAATTCCGCCCCTACGCCGAGTTATGAAAATCGCGAAGTCCAAATCCATACCAGCCGAACACAGGGTCATAGATTTTATTCTGTACGAGCAGCGAGAAGCCAGCGAAATCGTGGTTCAGATGTGGATGGCGAATGGAGAAGAAATCGGGAGAGACAGAAGCGCAAGCGGAGACTCTCTCCCTTTGCGGTTGAGGCATTTCTGAGAAAGAGTAACCCCAAACTAAAGGCTAGCACTATCTCTGAAATGTGGCAGAATCAGCATCGGAAGGCTCTGATCGGCAAGAAATGGCTCGGCAAGTAGTAGCAAACGGCCGAGTTGACGGGCACTGGCCTGCCTATTGACGCGCTCATTATGTCTAGGCCTTGCCAAAGCCTGCAGGTTCACAGGTCGGGTCCAAACCCAACCCGGTTCTTAGCAGGTTTTAGATTAATAGGCTTAATCTACAGATTAAATATAAATTTAAATATTTAATTTATAGATTTTTAACAGATATCTGTAGATTATTAAATTAAATAAATACTATATAATTAATAAATTATATAAGTTATACAGTTCTAGCTGTATTTTTAAAGTATTATATTTATATTTAAAATAATCTAGTATAACAAATATCCAGTTATATATAAATTTATAGTAGTAGAAACAAAAAAATTAAATTTATCTATATATTATATATATTTAGTATAAAATTGTTACACCTCCCGGAGCGGCAGTAACCCACCGCCCGGCAGACCGCCTCTGCATTACTGTATATAGCTTATATAGCCTGTTAGAACCTAGGAATAATTAACTATTTTATTATCTACTAAAATAATTGGTTAGACTGTTATAATAGTAGTATATTTTTAACAGACCAGAAGTCTGCTTTCTAAAGCCTACTAATTATTTTATTTTAATTTAATTAATTTAATTTTTTAAACCTATTAATATATATTATATTATTATTTTTAAACTATATTGTTTTATTAACCTCTGTATTAATTTTTGTTATATAATATCTTCTGCTACAGTAACCTATATCTACTACTATAGTAGTCTACTTTTAAATCTGTACTGATTTGCCGGGCTTTTAATTTAAATATTTATATTACTATATTACTTATTTTTTTTTTATATATAATATATTATCTTAGAATCCTTTAAAAGAGGAGATTTTTTAAGAATTAGTTTTAAAAGTAATAAAAGACTATTTTTAGACTATTTTACTTATTTTGTCTAATTAGTATATCTACTGTATTAAGTAGTTTCTAATAATTTCTAATTCTTTTACTTTTAGTTATTTAAAAAAAAATAATATAGTATTTAATAAATCTTTATTAAAATTATCTTAAGGTACTTTATCTGCTTTTAAATTAAATTATTTAATTTAGGCAGATCTTTAAAAAGTATAAGCTACTATTTATTACTTAAAATAGTTAAAATAATTAAAAAAATAAATTTAAATATTATAGACTAAATATAGAGATATTAAATCTTTAGTAAAATTATAATAATACTATACTAGTTTAATCTTATTTTCTAAATATAAAAAAAATTTAAATTTAAAAAAATTCTAATCTTCTTCCTCTGCTTTAGTTTATAATAAAAAACAGAATAGATTTATAATTTACAATATACTTTTAAAAAAGTATTTTAAAAGTATTATACTAAAAATTAAAAGATTTTAGCTGTAGTTAGCTATCTAAACTTTATCTGCCGGCAGAAATAGTATTAGTATATTAATAAAAAGTTCTTAAAAAACTACTAGAAAACTAAAAAATTATAAAATTATTTTATTTAATAAATTTTTTTTATTTAGAATACTGCTATTTTGTAGTTTAATACTATAGGGCAGCTTAAACAGGCCTATTAGTAAAAGAATTAAAATTTAAAAAAATTCTATTTTTATTTAAATATTTTAAAGTATTACTTTAAGTCTAAATAAAAAAATAAATATATATTAATCTTTTTTTTAAAATTAGTACCAGAACTTAGTTAATATATTTATAAATATATACTAAAACTACTGGACTTCTAAAAGAAAATAGTATTTATTACTATTTATTACTAAAATATACTAATTAAAAAAAAAAAAACAGAATCTAGATAGGTAAAAAAATTATTTAAATAAAGCCTTTAAAAAATTAAAACCTCTACTATTAAATAATAAGGTTTTTTTTAAAAAAGTTTTTTTAAAATAAAAAAAATTAAAAAGAAAAAATTTTCTGTTGCTATAAATACAACAGTAAATATTACTTAACTAATTAATATTTTTAAAAAAGTAAAAAATAAAATTAAATAAAAATTAATAAAAAAAGAACAGTAGTTAAAAAAATCTTTATATTTTTAATAAACTAGTTTAAAGTAGAAACTGCTATTTACTTTAATATATTTATTTATTTTAAAAATACCTTTAAAACCTATATAGACTCAGATTTATATACTAAAATTAATTTTATTAATTATTAATTTATTTAGTAATTTTATTTTAATATAGCTTATTTTATAGTTTTTTTAGTTACTATAATTAATTATTTTACTATAGATATTTATAGTATATAAATAATTCCTATTACTACTACTAATTTAAAAAAAACTATATAATTATTTATAAAATATTATATAGTAATTAATTATAATCTAGATCTTTTTAAAAATCTTATTCTACTTTTAATAACTATTTTAAAAGATCTATATATTTATTTATCTATATAAAATTAACAGTAGTAGTATAAGATTTAAATATTAAAAATTTTATTTTTTTATAAATTTATAAAAGCTTATTAAAATCTTACCTATATCTATACTGTAATTAAACTTTTAAAAAATATCTAGTTATTAAAAAATAAAGCTTTTTTAAACTATTTATAAATTAAATCTAATAAAACTATATTATTTTTTAAGCTTTATAATTTCACAGATATATTTTCTTTTAACTATTTTTAATAACTTTTTTTTATAGATTTTTAAACTATACTATTAATCTAAAAGATAGCAAAACCCTACTATATAAATCTATTTATTTTTTATTTTAAATTAAACTTTAATCTTTTTATTATTATATTAATAAAAATATTTAGTTAAAATAAATTTAATTTTTTAAAAGTTCTGCAGAAGCCCCTATTCTTTTTATACTAAAAAAAATTAAGATTTTTAATTATATATAAATTATAGAAGACTTAATAAAGTTTTAGTAAAAAAAATTTTTTTTTTTAATTTTAAAAATTTTTAACAGGATTATAGAAGCTAAATACTTTTTAAAATTAAATATTTAAAACATATATTATTAAATCTATATTAAATAAAAAGATAAATAAAAAACAGCCTTTTAAATCTATTATAGGTATTTTAAATATCTAGTTATACTATTTAGATTAAGTAATACTTTAGCTGTATTTTAAAATTATATTTATTTAGCTTTTTATAATATTTTAGACATCTTTTGTATTATCTATTTAAATAATATTTTTATTTTTTTAAAAAACTACTCTTTTTATACCCTTTATTTTTATTAAGTATTAAAATACTTATAAAAGGCAGATTTTTATATAAAATAATCTAAATATACTTTTTATTAGAATTATATTAAGTTTTTAAAATATATTATATTTTTATATAGTATATTAATAGACTTTTAACAGATATCTAATATTTTTATATAGTTAATATTAATAATATTTTATAAAATCTAAATATTTTTAAAATTTTATAATTTTTATTAGTATTTTATTAAAAACTATTTTTTAATTATACTGCTACTAACTTTTCTTTTAAAAGATACCTAGAATAGAAAAAAGCCTAGAAAAGTAGTATTAACTAATAAAAAAATAGTAGTATTTTAACAGCTTTTTTATAGTTTTAAAACTATATTTTTATTAAAATATTTTAACTTTTACTAGAAGATCTGGATAGAAATAGATACTTTTTAATAGGATATAGTAGAAATATTATTTTAGCTAAATAACTATAAAGTATACTATTTTATTATATTTTAGTTAAAAAAATTTAATAGTACTAAAACTTACTTTTTAACCCTAGATTAAAAGCTTTTTACTATTATTTATTTTTTTAAGTATTAGTATTAATATTTTAAAAGACTATTATATACTATTAAAGTTTTTTTAAATTATTAAAATCTTTAGACTTTTATAAAGCAGCCGAAGCTAAACAGCTGTTAAATTTAATAATATATATATTTTAATAATTATAATTTTATTATTTAGTATTGGCCTGGTAGGTACAACCCTACTAATCTACTATTAAAAATAAAAAAAAATTTAAAAGTCCTATTTAATATAAAAGTTTTAAAATTAATATAGTATTAAATAGCTGGTAAATTTTTAGT